TGCTAAGGTCCACCCATAGTTCCTAGTAGCTCTCCCAAACAGGAAGTTCAGTTCATGGAACACTGGGACTGGTATTCCAAGGTGGCCGCATGTAAGTGGGGGCAGGGAAAATGCCACCTTCTCAAACAACTACTCCCATCTTTCTGCTGTTATCCTTCAGGTCCTAGGTCAGATATCACATTCTTAGACAAGCTTTTCCTGACCTCACAAACTAGTTTGAATTTCTTCCATTACTTATTCCCTCGAAATCATATTTTATACCTTTACAAGCAATGTAAAAACTCTTCTGTGTGTTTGTTCAATGTTTAAATCCTAACTAGATTATATCTCTTGTAAAGGACAGTTATAGTATGAATCTCTAATACCTAGTCCAGTGCTTGGAACATACAAAGTTTATGTACATAAGTCTAGAGAGAGAGAGAGAGAGAGAGAATAATCAGAGAAACAGGGTGTGGAGTACAGGGTCTGACTTGATACTCATTACTAAGCTACACTAGAATTCAAATGTAGTTCTCTTTCCAAGAAGAGTTCCTTTCACTTTTTTTCCACAGAAGTGTTGCTCAGTTCCTCACCTGCACAATACATCAGGGAGTGTTAACTTGAAGGTTACAGATACTCAAGGGGCCCATGAAACTGAATGGGGAAAAAAAGTAACTATTTTCACTGATCTGTTACTGAAATGCAGCATTTTCTTCAATCTGTGTGTAGGCAGCAAACTACAGAAGTCTTAGTAGAAATCACAGATATTTTTGCATCACATTACAGTTGTTGTAAATACCATTGTTGTTCATCATTACTTTATAAAATACAGTTCTTCTAAAGCCTATTAAATCTTGTTAATTGATATTTTAATTTGAAAGTACATCTTACAAAGTAAGCAAATATGAGCTTTTAAAATATACTATGTGTCCCAATATCATTGTTTTCCTTTGTAATCCTTTATATTTTGCACATTTTAAAAAAATTACTTTAAAATAAGTTTTGTCAGTCATTTCCAAAAGAAATAAAAAAGATCAAAAACACTTGAACTAGAAAATTAGCAAATGACCTATCAAATGGATCAAATGTATAGCTATTTTCTTCTCTAATGCTCTAATTATCTAAATTTTAGCTGGTAGAAGAGTTCCTAAAAGAAGTAAGTAGAGAAAAATAGGAAGAAATGATTCCCAGAGGTGAATGAATACGTCAGCTAGGATGAATGAAAGGACTCAAAGCATAGCAAGTAGACGCTTCACTATAGTATAGTTACTGACATGTCTGAGTTCCCGCTCACAAGGAAGAAGTGAGTTAAAGGAATCCCTTTAATAATTTAAACTCAGTATTGAGAGGTCACAGAGAATGGGATATACCATGCAGAGACACAATTAGTGAAAGATACGGTGTTGAGGCATGATGAAAATCAGTCAACAAGCAATGTACCTAGTCACATAGTAAATTCTCAATAAAGAGCTATCAAATGAAAGGGAAGGGAAGGATAAACAATCTTTCTAAATAAAGGTAAAATCATCCAGGCATTCAGACTCAAAAAAATCAAAGTTCCCTTTTGTACAAACTTGTGTTGAAAAACATTTTAGAAAAGAAAGAAAAGCACAACTCTAGGCTGGAGGTGGAGGAGAGAAAAAAGGAGAATGCATGAGTCAGAGCCCGTCTCTGACCTTGAAAGACCTTGTAATCTCAGCAGCAGGCAGTTCTCACTAATAATACAAGGAAATGAAGGGGGAAGGGGAAAGAACACCACATGAAGAGAGTAAGCCAAGTTCAAAACATCGTTTCCAGAGGGAAACATCATCACAGAGGGTTCTGCTGATTTCCATCCAAACTCCTTGTCCCTCTACAATGCTGGACCACCTCGCCTTTACTGCATATAGATCAGTGACTTATTTTGCTGCTTCCAAGTTTCTTATTTCCATTTGAAATGTTTGCTTTACTATTACTTTCAATATCTTAGTGATTCTTAATGTGAAAACTCATTTTATCTGGGCTTCATATGATCACAATTCTATCTGATACCAAAGACAGTCTTTATTCAGTCCCTCCCAGAACATTAAGGTTTTGCAGAGGCTTCATTATGTAGGCATGAGTGATAAAATCATCGGTCATTGGTGACTATGTCAACCTTCAACCATTCCTTTCTCTGGAAGAGAAAAACCACCACCACTCCATCTTCCCCACTCTCTCCTCCACCACTACCGCCCTCCAGGCTGAAAGTTCCAACCCTCTAATCACAAGATTGGTTCAAAGAGCACTTCCAGGGGTTTTAGGAGCTCTCTACCAAGAATCATGGATGAAGACCAAACGAATATTTTTGTTCTATTACAACATCACTCAGGGATCTCTGTAGCAGTGTGGACCCAACTCCCTTCTCCCAAAACTATGAAATTGTATATATAGAATTTTTCTACAAGCAAACTCCAGAACATTGTTGGGGACCACTTTTCTCATCTCTGCCAGACTAGAAACTATTGACTAATACCTTCTCAAGTACTAAACATGAAATCTCATGAGAGTTACTCCAAGTCCCTGCTCAGCCAAGATACCCAGATCCATCTGAGCATCTTCTCTAGGGGCTCAGCTGAACCAGTAAGTGAGTACCAAGGGTCGGGTGATGGAAGCAACCTGTCCCCATGCAAGCATAAGGGGTAAATGTCCGTAGAGGATATTAATATAATAATATAATTAAGTCAATCAGATATTTATCACCTTGTAAAACAATTTTTGTTGTACACCAAAAGATTCAAAATACTTAAAAAAAGATTTTTGTTGGTATATATTCTAAACAATTGCTATGGTTATTGTTGAATATAATAATAAAATATGTTGGTATGCCTCAAATTACCACTTTTTAAAACTAATCTACTAAAAATATTTTATTCTATATGGAAGTATAGTATCAGTTGAAGGAGTATCAGTTGCACAAATTCCACCACATGTATTACTTTCATAGGAAATTCATAAGAATTTAGATGTTCAAAGCTCCATTCAGGTGTATTTTGTGATTCCAACCCTCATGCTTTTAAAACAGTAAATTTAAAGTAAATTTAACTAAACAAAGTTAGTTGTATGAGAATTTTCTTTCCTGAGTTTCAGATCAGGTCATCCTTTAAAAGCACTGGATCAAATAATGTCAGTGTCAATGTTCACTTTCTCGGACTTGTGCTAAGAAAGAAATCTTCAACAGAAATAGCTTTTACCAATAGAAATTCATGATGAATTTTCTGATGATGATGTCTTGGTGAAATTTTTAATAGTGCATATAACTGAAAGCTGTAAGAACTGATCACAAAGAAACAAGACATGAACAATACTGTAACTTCTGGATTTCACTGTGAAGTATAATTTATATAAAACTCTACATTCTCTGGTCACTTATAAAAAAGATAAAGTGACAAATCTAAGTATCCTATGTATCAAATATTGTAGCAGTATAATATTGATGGTGGGGGGCTGGGGGGAAAGGGGATTAGCATGTGTGAAAGAATTCACCAGAGACAAAGTGGAGAACAGAAAAGGCAGAATCATTGAAATTTCCTGCAAGAGAGCAGGGGGCAAGATGGGAGGTGTGTACAACCCAAGATGGGCTTGAGGCTCTCATTTATAACCTGTTATCTTCAGGGATGTCTGGTCGTAGCCGTTGACCTTTGAAACAGAATGTGTCCTGATCCTGCTTGGGCATTCATGGTCAAGGTGAAGGGTCTTAAGGCCAGGTTCCCATATCAACCTTACCAATTCAAGTCTCCCAAACTTGCCTGCTAGGCAAGGAGTGGGGGCTTAGTTTTTAACCTCAGTAATGATACCACAAAAATTAGTAATCAACTTACCCTGTTTTTCAGGGTGACAAAATACAACCCATAACAAGGAGCAATTTTTACAAAGTCTCTACAAATCTACAGACACTAAAGCCCCAAAACAGAAAAATACGTGAATATATAAATGCGTAGGTATGTTTTCTCCTTTAAAAAAAAAAAGCCTGCACCCCTATGTTTATAGCAGCGCTATTTACAATAGTTAAGCTATGTTAACAACCCAAATGCCCAAAAATAGATGACTGGATCAAGAAGATGTGGTACATATACACCATGGAATATTACTCAGCATTCAAAAAAGATAAACTCATGCCATTTGCAGCAACATGGATGGCGCTGGAAGGGATCATGCTCAGCGAAATAAGCCAGAAAGAAAAAGAAAAATACGGGATGGTCTCACTCATAGCAGGAATTTAGAAAACCTAAATAAGGGACCAGGAAAAAGACTAATTGTAATAAAGTAAAAATCAAAATCAACAAGCAGCTATAAACCAGAGGGGGGGGGAGGGTCAAAATAAGGGGGGTGGGAATTGTACGGGGACTATATAACCAAGATGAAAATGCATACATTGTGCAAAAATGAAAAATAATGTAAAAATATATTAAATAAAATTTTAAAAAAGCAGATGTAATTAAAAGTATTAATCTATTACTTTTCCTCCAAAGTGCTGTTATTTTTCTTTAACTGTAATGATTACATGTACTTAAAAGAAATTTTTCACTACCTACCATTCTTTACTGAGCATCAGTTATTCCTCTCCCCGTCATAAAGGAAAATAATTTGTTTCAAAACGTCGCGCTCAGAGTCAGGCGGGTTCATCGCGCGCGGGGCGGGGCCGGCAGCCGCGGGACCGGCCCCTCCCGGCGCCCTGTGAGCGGAGACTCGCTTTCCCAGCATGCCCCGCGGCGGGGCGTCCCGTTTCGGCCGGCCGCCCCAGGTCTGACGCAGCACAGAAGCGCCCGCAGTCCCGCGCGTCCCACACTAGAGGGCGCGTTTCCTCGCGTCAGGGAAATGCCTGAAGCCGGCGCGGCTCGCCGCCTTCAAGAGGGCAACGCCCCTTCTCCTCCCTCCGCTCTGCCAACGAGGCAGGCTCTGATGCTCATGCGCAAACACGTCCACCACGCAGCGGGTGCGCGCGTGCGTCCCCGCAAATCCCGCCCCTCCGCGCAGGCTGCCCTGGAGCTTCCAGTTCCGGCTCCTAGGGGAGGGCGAGGCGGGCACCATGCGGCTGTCGGTCGCCGCCGCCGTCTCCCATGGCCGCGTCTTCCGCCGCATGGGCCTCGGCCCCGAGTCCCGCATCCACCTGTTGCGCAACTTACTTACGGGACTGGTGCGGCACGAGCGCATCGAGGCGCCCTGGGCGCGCGTGGACGAGATGAGGGGCTACGCCGAGAAGGTGAAGGGCTGCGCCCGCGCAGGGAGGGGCCCCCCTCTTCCTCGCGGCCCGGCCTGCGGGGCGGGGTCCCCCGACTTGGGGAAGGAGAGGGGCCCGCCTGATGCCTTCTCCCAGAGGGAATCCCCCGGTACTGTGGGCTGAACCCGGCCCTCCGGCGTCCCAAGTGGTTAGGGCTGCGGGCTTGGGGGTGGCATTAAAGATGTGCTTTGTTAGTGGAATGAATGAGCTGCAGTTTCATGTTAAAGGAGTAAAATTGGCGTCTGGTTTCTTGTTGCGTGGATCGGTTGTGCTCTGTCCTCACAGCTCATCGACTATGGGAAGCTGGGGGACACCAATGAACGGGCCATGCGCATGGCTGACTTTTGGCTCACGGTGAGTATTTCCCATAAGGCCTCCTTAATCTCTGCTCCCCCCGGGGGCAGAATGAAGTGAAGGCATTCACTAGGACAAATCTGGTGAACTAAATTAGACACATGGGTCTTAAATTAGTTGTTTCATGGGATTCTGAATCTCCACAACTGCTTGGAACCGACCCCTCTGTGTTGCGTTGACGCTGCCACTTTCAGGGTTAGGGAGGTCTATGCGGGTGAGGATCCTACTTTTGTGAGTGTCGAAAGTTGTTTGTCTGCAGTGGTGCTTATCTCTACTCTCACCTGGGTAATTCTCCCCTTCCAGGAGAAAGATTTGATCCCGAAGCTGTTTAAAGTCCTGGCCCCCCGGTACCAAGGTCAGAAAGGAGGCTACACGAGAATGCTGCAGATCCCAAATAGGCCTGCGCAGGATCGGGCCAAGATGGCAGTCATCGAGTATAAAGGGAACTGCCTCCCGCCCCTGCCCCTGCCTCGCAGAGACAGCAATCTTACACTCCTCAACCAGCTGCTGCTGGGGCTGCGGCAGGACCAGGAAGCTTGCAGCCACCGCTCCCACACGACTCAGACACCAAGGATTTAACTGGAGGCAGGTGCATGGCCTTCTCATCAGTATTGATGGTCACAACAGGTCTTTGAAGCTCTTTTATCTCTAAGAAGAAATGGAGCTAGACTTGTAAAATGGGCAACCTTAATGCCCAGAACCCTCTTGGAAGCCAGATGACCCTCTCTTGTCACCATAGATAAAGTTCCTTGTATTAAAAAAAAAAAAAAAAGCTGATTTTTTTTTTTTTCTCCCTGGGGATTTCTGGAGAAAAAGGACTATCCAAATGCTCAGCCTACCTAGAAAAGTAAATTAGTAACAGTATGTCTATGTTTTTTTGTGTGTACTCCACATTACCCCCCAAAGTTGACTGAATTTTGACATCTAGAGAAAGATTACTTACTGGCACAGGTTGAGGGTGAATATCTAGAAGTGAACTTTTCATAATTATCTGGTATCCTGGGAGCCCTCAGAAACACTAGAACAATTCTGTTTTTAGACAGGGTCACATGTGATCCTCATGTGCCCCCCACTCAAGCCCACAATGAACCTCAAAGGAGAGGACCTGAGAATTCAGGTTATACCATTCTAGCCAAGGGAGTAGAAGCATTCAACAGAGGATGTTGGACTCCAGGATAAGCTCCTTCCGTAGCTGGTGAGGTGGGAGGAGTACTAGGAAGTTAAAACTGATGGGAATTTCCTGGAAATTTTTTATTGTCAAATCTGGGCCTCTCTGGGAACTCAGAAAAGGGAAATCCGGCTTCAGAATGGCTAAGGCATATGAGAAGGAGGAAGATCATTTATACATGTTCATTACTGTGAAACCAGACTTGGCCCAGCCAGGCATCAGTCTGAGAAGACTTGAAGCTGTCCCTGACCTGCACACTTGAGAGCAGGGCCTGGATGATCTATCACCATATAAGAGATTTTACCTTAGGCTGGACCTTCAGCTTGTACTTGGCCCACCAAATCCATCTACTTTCTAGATAAGGATGAGAATGGAGGGGTCAGTGGTCTGGCAGATACAGGCACCACTGACAAGGCTAGTCTGGTCTCTCACTGCAGCTGCTCGCCTCTAAAACATCTGTTCCCAATAGAGTTCCCCATCTCAATTCGTTTTTCCATGCTGTTGCCAGGAAGCTCTTTCTAACTATTGTGAGTGAGATATGCAAAACATTTATTGAATAAATGAATAAACCTGCAACTGTAAGTGCATCTTGCAAAAAATTTACACCCTTCTGTCTAGGCATGAATATTCACCACAGGTAGATATTTTGCAGTCATCCCTGAAATCTAAAGAAAAGTATTTTCTGGGCCTCCTTGGTGGCACAAGGGGTTAAGTCTCGGCACTATGAAGCTATGGGCAGCCACTGCAGCAAGAGTTTGATCCCTTGCCAGGGAGCTAACCCACATGGCACAGCAGACCTCTCCTGACTTACCCATCACTACCCTCGGCGATATGTTTCAATCAATCTGCCTGTTCTGCTCCCCACTTTGGTAAATCCTCTCACCCCTGCCCCCACACCTCTAGTCTGCACCCCAGCACTTGTATGCATAAATAAATCTTAAAAAAATACATATTTTGGGCCTCCGCTGGTGGCGCAGGCAGCTGAGCACAGCACTGTGAAGCTGTCTGTAACCTCTGCAGCTCCAGTTCGATCCTGGCCGGCCAGTGAGGATCCCACATGGCGCTGCAGACCTCTCCTGTCGCGCCCGCTGCTCCCCTCAGCAGTGTATTTTGTCCATCTGCCTGTTCTGTTCCCTGCTCTGTCTGGTGAATCCTCTCACCCTCCCGCACATCTGGCCTGTAGCCCAGTTCTTGTATAAGTAAATAAATCTTTAAAAATAAATAAAAATAAAAAATACATATTTTTTTTTAATTTTCCTTAAACCACATCTTTAAATATTGGTAACAGGATTATGGCTGAATTCCATAACTTTTCCGTTTAGTCCCCAGAAATGTATGTCCCTTTGAGACTTTCAACAGTTTTCTAAGTATTAAGCATCTGCTAGTAACCAGCATGTTTGCCATGTCAGACCCTGATATTAGGGATACAGAGATGAGCAGAAACAACCTTTCCCATCATTCCCCTTAACACATTTCATTCATGCAGTCTCACCCAGAGAACCTGCCACCTTCTACCTACCTAACTTGTTACACACACCGTTGGCATCTCCTGAGTGACTTCTCTCTCCATCCCCACAGTTAAATTCATTTCTCTGTAAAGCTAAGTTCCACTACATTATTTTCATAATCCACTGAATTTACAACAGGGCGTTAGAGCTCCCAACTGTGTTGGTTCCCAAACACCCATCCCTGATTAAGGCAATAATAATATTTCCATCCCCTTAGTATTGTTGGGCTCAGGGATGGACAGACCTGAACTAATACCAGCCAGTGAGAATCCAGACTCTACTGTGCTCAACAGAGGTATGGTAGGGCCTCCCCAGTGGCGCAGTGGTTGAGCGCTGGTTGCGAAGCTGCCCATAGCCTCTGCAGCACCGGTTCGATCCCCGGCTGCTCCCTGGCCACCGGAGGAAGGTCCCACATGGCAGGCAGACCTCTCCTGCCACCCGCTGCTCCCCTCAGCAGTGTACTTCAGTCCTTCTGCCTGCTCTGCTCCCCTCTCTGGCTCTGGTGAATTCTCTCACCCTCCCACGCTTCTGACTGTACCCAGTGCTTGTATAAATAAATTAATTAATTTTAAAAAAAGGTATGTTATTCTTAATGCCAGTGGGAAACTGGCTTTAGGCTGAAGATGACACAAAATAGCAGGTCAGAGCAACTAAACTTCATAGTAATAACCTTTAGTGATTATTTCCATTTAACCCTGGCTTCTTAATAATTACCCAAATTAGTTGCTCCTGTTGAATCTTTATAGATTAGTGTTTCTCAAAAAAAAAAATTATGACTTACAGATCAAAACACTTTTACATCAGAACATATTATATCCATGTATAATATAATTAAATTATATCCATGTACTATAAAACATTTTACTACATAAGGCACATAACATTTTCTGTTCTAATTTGCTATTTTTTTTTTAGTGGTGCTCCTAATTCACTTGATTTTACAATTTAACAATGAATCACAACTTGCACTTTGAAAAATTCTGATCTCAATCAGCATTACAGTGACTCACCATTGCCTTGGTTTGCCTACGTTATATTCAGATCTCTACTCAGAAGGCACTTTAGTGAGACCTCCAAACCACATCACCCTCCAAACAGAGCTGGGTCTCTTCTCTTCCTGTATGCAGTTACAGTCCTATCAAAGGAGATTATCACATTATCCTACTCAACCTACGTTTATTACATTAGGTGGTGTAAGCTACTCGTCTAAGACACTGAATTCTGGCTTTACAAAATAGTAGCCATGGTACAGGGACAGCGCTCAGCAACACTGCTGAGTATGCCAAAGCTAAAGAAGAAATGGCCGACTCCTTCTCCAGGGACGTAAGTGTTCCTGACTGTCAAGAATGTAAGCATGTGTCTGACGCATTTTCCACACATTTCATGTTGCAATTTCCTGAAATATTTCTAACCAGCCTACAGACCAAAAAAGTACCTGTACATCTTCTAAGACTTAACCCAAAATTTGAAATGATAACTTGAGAAGTAATCACAGAATTTCCCAAGAAAACCTAGGCATGTTACCCATGTCCAATTTCACACTATATATTCTTCATTGTAGTAATGGCATAATCAACTTGGTTCGCATCCTTTCCCAGAGTGAACTCCTTGAGACCAGGGAATATAATGTAATTCATTCTTGCACCACCTAGAGACATATCCACAAATGTCTACTAACTGAATCAATTCCTTGTGTGAAGTTCTTTACCCTAGCTCTGCAGTAAGGGTGCACTAACTCCTGCCTTCCCTGGTTTCCTTCTATTGATACTTCATCTGAGAAGCTCCTGCAAAACTGACTGCCCAAGTTCACTATTGTGTAACTTCTGTACCCTTCAGCCTTTCTACCTCGCTTAAATTTGAGATGCCGTAAGAAGAGAAATGGGGGGTCCCTTCCTGGTGGCGCAAGGGGTTAAGACACAACCTATGAAGCTCGCCGCAACCACTGTAGCAAGAGTTCAATCCCCAGCCAGGGAGCTACCCACGTGGCACAACAGACCTCTCCTGCCTCACCCGCTGCTCCCCTCAGCAGTGTACTTCAGTCAATCCGCCTGTTCTATTCCCCACTCCGACTCTAGTGAATCCTCTCACCCCCCAGACCTCTGGCCTGTACCCCAGTTCTTGTATGTATAAATAAATAAATCTTAAAAAAAATAGAAATGGTTATTGTGTTTATATTTTCAGTAAGAAGTTAATATTTTCTGTTTACATTGCATTCTGTTTCACAATATCTCCGTAATATAAAGTGGTTTTATTTTTTACTAAAGATTGTACATCATACACACACACACACACACATACACACACGTCTATGAAAATTAATGCTCTAGGAAGATAAATCTTGTTTACACTGTGGCTTCACATAGACCTTGGCACACCACTGTGGAGCCCAGCATGGGAATCAGCACTAAAATTACCCTGCTCCTCACGCTGAGGAAGCTGTACCTAGGAATGTCACTGGAAGCTTAATGCCATTGTTCTGACTTAATTTCTTACTGCTTTTCCTTAAAACAGTCTCAAGCTTTCCTAAAATTATCCTTCCCTTTTCTCCCCAAAAGGGGTAAGAAAAGGAAATAAGGGAGTAAGAAAAAAAGGAAAATAGTTCCATTTTCTATGTATGAGTTTGAGCTGCCTGGGAGCATCTGGAGCTGGGAGAACAGATTTGGGAGTTGTTGGCAATTAAAGCTAAGGAAATGGATGGAGTGACTCAGTGTACATGTAGATGGAAAGGAGGGTGAGATCAGACATTCGGGGACAGACAGGATACAGACTATAAAGGAGACTGAGATATTGCCTTCCAGAGGAAAGAACCTGCAAAATTCATCACAGTACCTCAGAGAGTGTCTCCCTTCTACATAAGAAGCACTCAAAAATATTTTATCAAATAAAGTCAGCAAGAATATTCCTCCATTCAAAGTACTGTATGGTGAGAGAATGCAGAGGTGATTCCTCAAGGACCCAACAGGCCAACTGCAAGGACAGATCATAAAATAAGTACAACATAGAAGACAGGTGCTATGAAAGTAGTGTGCACGTGGCGCACTGGAGTACCATGAAAGAAAGTCAGAGAGGAACTTTTCAGAGGAAAGACAATGCTAAAGACTGAATCTTGCAGAATGAGTAGGTATCCAAGCATGGGGGAGTGAAGTCAGCTGGGAGGGCTTTTCAGACAGCAAGATCTGCAGGTATAAATGCACAGAATTAGGAAACAGTATGAAGTAGTTGAGAAATTCCAAGTAAGTAATTTGGTACAGCTGGGATTTAGTATTTGAGGAAGAAGTGGAGGAAATGAAGCGGGAAAGCCAGGCAAGATCAGGTTACAAAGGCCCTTGGAAGACATGATAAAGTACTTGGATGTTATCCTGAAGACTGGGGAAAGCAACTGCAAGATTTTTAAATGGAGAGAAAAAGGATCAGATATACTTTTCAGAATGACTACTCTTACATCAAACTGGAAGATGGGTTAGAGGGGCAAGAATAGAAGCAAGGAAGCCAGATAGGAGGCTATTTAAGGGATTCTAGGAGAGTGATAGAAAGGAATCTTCATTAGACCAGGCCAGTAACAGGGAAATGAAGAGAAACTGACAGGCCAGACAGTTACAGAGGAGAGAGTATAGACTAGACATTGTGATCACATCTGGTAGAGCAAAAAGTTGAGTCAAGAACGACTCCAAGTTTCTACTTGGACAGTTGGGTGGAATAATCCCATTCACAGAGAACAAGGATAGCAGAGGAAAAGCAGATCTGAGATTACTGTGATGAACTTTGTGCTAAGTATATTCATGTTAAGGAACTGTCTTGTGAACCATTGTTCTGGAGCTCAGAGTAGGTATGTAAGCCAGCAACACAGATGTTAGAGTCACACACAAACATGGGAACTGAAGCAATTATGCTAGGTGAGATATATAACAGACAAATAAGAGGAAAAAGAAGACTTAGCATAGAATAATAGAAGTTCTCTAAGGAGGTAGGAAAGGACTCCTAGAACACTGGTGTCCAAAATCTAGGGGAGAAGAGTGTCAACAACCTCTCTGTGTCAGTGGAGTGTGAGTTTTTGGAGGCAGACACTCGATTATCTTTGTACTCTCAGAACATAATGTGACCAAACTCCAGAGCTGTGGTTTCATGAGTGTTGTTGGCCATTGGACTTGGAAACAAAGGTGCTCACTGTTGACCAATGATAGAACACTCTCAAGAAGGCGAAAGTAGAAACCAAAAATGTGCTAAGTCTGGTGACAATGAAAAGGGAAGCCAGCAGAGATACTGCAGCAACTTGAGAGGAAAGCAGATTTGAAAAGTAAATTTGAGGATTACTGTATTTATTTTTGCTATGTTCTGAATGTTTGTTTACTCCCAAATTCATGTGTTAAAATCCTAACACCTGCTGTGATGTTAGGAAGTGAGGCCTTTGGGAGGTGCTATGTCACAAGGAGAGGGTCGTGGCCTCATGAATGGAATTTCTTATGAAAGAGACCCCTCCAAGATCCTTTGCCTCTTCCACCATGTAAGGACATGGCAAGAAGTCACCAGCTGCCTCACCAGAACTGGACCCTGCGGGCACCTTGATCTTGGACTTCCCACCATCTGAAGCTATGAGAATAAATTTCTGTTGTTTATAAGCTACCCCGTCTGTGGTATTCTGTTCCAGCAGCCCAAACAGACAGTTGTATAATGAG